TAGTTCTAGCAGTGACTGACAGATTGCAGATACTCCAGATTGCAGATCTTGTTTGCTTGGTGCCAACAGAGCAGCAAGTTGGAATTCTTTCCTCCCAGTCCCTGTTGTGGTTTCCTTTCTTCAGCAGCTGTTCATCTTACACAAAGTGTTTGTGGCTATCACAGCTGAATTTGCCTATCTGGGGGAGAAAGTAGGAAAGAAATACTTCCAGCCTAAATCCAGTTAGAGAACTGAAACAGGGGAACAGAACAAATGGTGTTCTGGTAGTTCCTAAGATTCTCCTCCATTTAGGAACTTAGGAAGTTCCTAAGCCTCCATTTCTACCCTATTGCAGGAGCAGAGCCAGCAATACTCACGTTTTCTCAGAGCAGCAGATAATTCAGCAATGCTACTGATGAGTGATGATGAAGAGGAACTAAGAGACAATAATGGGTATGTGACAGATAAAGTGCCTGTCTAAAGTCTAATTTCTGATATACAGTACAAACAGGTTATTCTCAAGTTTTTGGATTCTGTTTGATTCTGTGCAAAACCTTCAACCTGGAATATAATGGCATGTCTGGAAGAGATGTAATTAAAGAAAATCCTGCAGAAACATTTCTTCCCTGTTCATGACATCATTGTTTCTTACAGAATGGCTTGCTATACGCTGAAATTCCTGCAGTACATAAAAGCTCTGGGAATTAGTGTGTTGCTGGGCAGGGATGTTACTAAATTGCAGTTGGGGTTGTTTTAATTTCTGACCATTTATGTATCTGTAACCCTTCATGGAGGGTGAAATTAATGTCTGCATGTTCCTTCTGATTCTATTCTCTCTAGCACGTGGCCAGCAAGTCTATTTAGTTCTCTGTTTTGGGTGGATGAGGACTCGCAGGTAAGGATCCACATGTTGTCATCCTTTCTGCTTTGTGGGAGGGGGAACGGGGCAGAGGGGGAGCTATGCAACTCAGTTGTCTTTTGTGGGATGCTATGGGGAGCTGGCTGGAAGCACAGACCTTGCTTCAGAGCTCATACTACCATGTCTCCCCACATCACTTCTTGAAGGTGTGCGTAGAGAGAGAAACCCTTTCCCCTGGGGCACTGGAAAATCTGTGTTCCTTACAGTTCTAGCAGTGACTGACAGATTGCAGATACTCCAAATCCTGTCTGCCTCGTGCCAACAGAACAGCAAAGTAGAATTCTTTCCTCCCAGTTCCTGTTGTGATTTCCTTTCTTCAGCAGCCGTTCATCTAACATGGATTGTTTATGGCTATCACTGCTGAATTTGCCTGTTTAGGGGAAAAAGAGGGAAAGAAAGATCTCCAGC